TAAGTGTGTTGGCGGGAATTACCGTAGTTGCACTGGTATTACAAGTCCTCATTCTTTACCGTAGTGATGTGTGTAAGTATACACTGATTACTTTTAACACTTTCTTTTACACACATATATACTTTCTCTAACATTCACACCAGGTAACTGAATAATTGATGTATGTCCTGTAACCGAGCCGAATACCACACATAAAGGTGTGTTTATGAAAGCGTTAGTCTGTTGGTCTAGTAAACGCGCTCACGACACGCCCCATAAATCTTTCCTCTTTTATACGTATATTTGTATAATAAGATACGAAAGTGATTCTTTTTAACTTTTTATGCGATTTTTACATGCAAATACTTAATAGTTGGTTAATGGTATGTCGGTTAAAAGGGATAACGTTGGCATTCTACACCCAATGTTAATAAAATGAAAAGATGATGACAGCTGTGTAATTCATTTCATAAATATCGATGCTCTTTAAGTGCGACACACATGCTGTTGTTTTTGTTGTTGCAGTGCTAAGTATATACCGCCGTTGGCTGGCCTGGCTAAACCCAAACACTTATACATCAGTAGAAAGACGATATCGGTAACATGATACTTTACACAACTGCAATCACATTAGCTAATATATGGTATTAATACAAGGGTCCCTATGTCGGAGCTTTTCAATCTATTTGCATGTAAACCTGACACTGGATTAAATTCAACACGCAAACAGATCTAAACAGCTCTTAGTAAAAGAATATGCTAATTTGTCCGCAGAACGTTTCGTGTTCGATTTAACTAGCGAAATAATATTTTAAATGTAGAGATGAATGCAAATGGGGATAAAAGAAAGTAGAATCATACATGGTAGAGGAAGATGGCTGACGGTTGATACATATAGTAAGGTGGCATTAGTGAAGCGACCTCCAGGAGTTTGGAAATTGCAGCAAGGAGAGGAGGGGGATGTTGACTTTTAGAACGGGACTTACTATACAGTTATAGAATGGGTATGAGGGAAATAGCAAATTTATGTTCCCCCGAGGTGAAAAACTATTTCCAGTGGCGCCTACAAATATTCATGAGGGAGTAGTCCCATTTCTGCCAGGGAGTAGTCCTTTCTTGCAGGGAGTAGTCCTATTTTGGGGAGGGAGTAGCCCTCAGATGGAGGGATTTACACGATTTTAGGGAAATAGGACATTTTATCGTATAGTTTTTATATAGGGAAAACTCAGTAAAGGTATAATAATCCATAACGAAAGCTGTCGGTGATATATCGAAGTGTCCCTTCGGTGAAGTTACTTTCAGTCATTAGAGCTAGATTAAGGCATTAATGCGTTCATAGTTTCATTAGGTTAAGAACTACATATATTATAGATCATGATTGCAATCGACGGTGTTGAGGGACGGGGTCAACAAAAGGTCAGCGAATACTTAATTGAGGCTATATGTTTCATGTCTGCTATCCGCATTGATTATCTTTTGCAGGCAAATTTGTACAACTTCCTACTGTTTCGAATATCAGGTTAATAAAATCCTCACAATGACCCCCTATGTATACCGATTAACCGTTTTTAACACTTCCAACTCTCCCTTCCCAGGTTATGGTGTGAACCCATTTCTGTCATCCCTTTGTGTACCTGGACATCCTTTGTTGCGAGGCGATCCTCAAATTTGCCTGTTTCCAGCGGAAACTAAGTACGACAAAGCGCTGTCAGCTTTCTTAGCAGTTTCAAATGCCGGGGGCCTGGTCGTTTTAGCAGAACAACTGGGTTGTCGGTTTTAAAAAGTAACCCTTTTGGGTATAAGCCCTGGAGGACCTACAAATGTTGATGCAAGTCTTGTAAGGCTTTGTCAAGGCTCGCCTGAAAACAATACCAAATTACTAGGTCCGACCTTATTAACTCTTATCCAACCGGTCCAACCATTTGGATTGATAGAAATGAGAGCGGCCCTGGACATCCTTTGTTACGAGGCGATCCTCCAGTGTGCCTGTTTCCAGTGGAAGTATGACAAAGTTTTGTCAGCTTTCTCTGTCAAACACCAGTAGTGCGAGAACTGTTATGACAAAGAGACCGAGGTAGCGTGTTTACAAGAACGTATATGTAATCATTACAACACAAGAAAATGTGTTTTGATCGCCATCAAACGGTCGCTGTAAAGTGCTAACTAATTTAACATGTAAAAGGTGGACAGAGTTAATACATATCAAAGTTATCACCCAGTTACTTCGGTATTTGGTAAATATGTCTGTGCCTCGTAACCGAATTCAAACCCATCATTTTCCCGTTCTTCTCATTCCTGTATATGTTTGTTTTACACATAATAGTTATATTCACAGTGAAAGCGATAGCGTTCCTGGTAACGTAATCACGGTGCTAGCGTTCCTGGTAACGTACTCAAGATGTTAGTGTTGCAAGTAACGTAATCACGGTGTTGGTGTTCCTGGCAACGTTATCACGGTGTAAGTGTTCCTGGTAACGTTATCACGGTGTTAGTGTTCCTGGTAACGTAATCACGGTGTAAGTGTTCCTGGTAACGTTATCACGGTGTAAGTGTTACAAGTAACGTTATCACGGTGTTAGCGTTCCCGGTAACGTAATCACGGTGTTAAGTGTTCCTAGTAACGTAATCATGGTGTAAGTGTTCCTGGTAACGTAATAACGGTGTTAGCGTTCCCGGTAACGTAATCACGGTGTTAAGTGTTCCTAGTAACGTAATCATGGTGTAAGTGTTCCTGGTAACGTTATCACGGTGTTAGTGTTCCTGGTAACGTTATCACGGTGTTAATGTTCCTGGTAACGTAATCACGGACCCTAGCTGTTAATAGGACGTTAAACAAAATCAAACAAACAAACAAACAAACAAAGTAATCACGGTGTTAGCGTTCCTGGTAACGTAATCACGGTGTAAGTGTTCCTGGTAACGTTATCACGGTGTTAGCGTTCCTGGTAACGTTATCACGGTGTTAGTGTTCCTGGTAACGTTATCACGGTGTTAGTGTTCCTGGTAACGTAATCACGGTGTAAGTGTTCCTTGTAACGTTATCACGGTGTTAGCGTTCCCGGTAACGTAATCATTGTGTTAGCGTTTCCGGTAACGTAATCATGGTGTTAGTAGCGTTCCTGGTAACAATATCACGATGTTAGCGTTCCTGGTAAGGTAATCAAGGTGTTAGTGTTCCTGGTAACGTAATCACATTGTTAGTGTTCCTAGTAAGGTAATCACGATGTTAGTGTTCCTAGTAACGTTATCACGGTGTAAGTGTTCCTGGTAACGTAATCACGGTGTAAGTGTTCCTAGTAACGTTATCACGGTGTTAGCGTTCCCGGTAACGTAATCATGGTGTAAGCGTTTCTGGTAACGTAATCACGGCATACGTGTTCCTGGTAACGTAATCACGGTGTTAGCGTTCCTGGTGACGTAATCACAGAGTAAGTGTTCCTGGTAACATTATGACGGTGTCAGCGTTCCTAGTAACGTCATCATGGTGTAAGTGTTCATGAGTAACGTAATCACGGTGATAGCGTTGCTGGTAACGGCTGGTAACGTTATCACGGGTAACTTCATCACTGTGGTTGTGTTCCTGGTAACGTAATCACGGCATTAGCGTTTCTAGTAACGTAATCACGTTGTTAGTGTTCCTAGTAACTTATTTACGTAGTAAGTGTTCCAGGTTACATTATTACGATGTTAGTGTTCCCAGTAACGTAATCACGGTGTTAGCGTTCCCGGTAACGTAATCATGGTGTTAGCGTTTCTGGTTACGTTATCACAGTGTTAGCGTTAATTGTAACATAATTATGGAGTTAGTGTTCCTGGTAACGTAATCACGGTTTAAGCGTTCTTGGTCACGTTATCGCGAGTATAGCGTTCCTTGTCACGTAATCGCGGTGTTAGCGTTCCTGGGTGACGTTTCCCGACGCGAACGTAAATTTACTATTATCCGTAAACCGTACGTAAGTTTTTTTGTCCGTTTCACAACGCACGCGTGTGTTACTAGTGAACGTAAATAAGTTACGGGTACCCGTAAATTACGCCATAAACCGCACGTACTGTACGCCAATAAATACCTGTCGTAAGCCACTCGTAATTTCACGTTCAGACATAATAAAAGTAAACAAATGGCTGCCGCATTGTGTTGCTTTAAATAAATAACTCCAGTTGGTATAAGTAGGGAGCGAGTGTGTCTAAACCAACGAAACACAAGTAGGGGCCAAAAGAACAGCATTTTCCCAATATGTTGCTAGCAACGTAATCACATTGTTAGCGTTTCTGGTAACGTAATCACGGTGTTAGCGTTCCTGGTAACGTAATCACGGTGTTAGCGTTCCTCGTAACGTAATCACGGTGTAAGCGTTCCTGGTAACTTATCACGGTATTAGCGTTCCTGGTAACTTATCACAATGTAACGTAATCACTATTTTAGTGTTCCTGGTAACATTATCACTGGTAGATATCCTTATTACGTACAAATACTCTTTATCTATGACATCACCACTAGAGGGTGACCGTACTATAAAGTACACTAACATCTGTCAGTATCTATGAAATCACCACTAGAGGGTGACCGTACTATAAAGTACACTAACATCTGTCAAGATCTATGACATCATCACTAGAGGGTGACCGTACTATAGTACACTAACACCTGTCAGGATCTATGACATCACCACTAGAGGGTGACCGTACTATAAAGTACACTAACATCTGTCAGGATCTATGACATCATCACTAGAGGGTGACCGTACTATAGTACACTAACACCTGTCAGGATCTATGACATCACCACTGGAGGGTGACCGTACTAAAAAGTACACTTAAATCTGTCAGGATCTATTACATCACCACTAGAGGGTGACCGTACTATAAAGTACACTAACATCTGTCAGGATCTATGACATCATCACTAGAGGGTGACCGTACTATAGTACACTAACACCTGTCAGGATCTATGACATCACCACTGGAGGGTGACCGTACTAAAAAGTACACTTAAATCTGTCAGGATCTATTACATCACCACTAGAGGGTGACCGTACTATAAAGTACACTAACATCTGTCAGGATCTATGACATCATCACTAGAGGGTGACCGT